GATGCACTTGTCTTCCAAGGTAACCAAGTTCCACTTCAAAAAGCATCTGATTCCAGATATTTTAAACATAAACAAAACTCATTTTATGTAGTAAATATACTACCAGTGACCAAAAAACTTACTGTTCAGTGCCCTGAGATAACTTCTGTTGTGTCTTGGCACTATATAAATAAACTGAACTGAATCTTTTTAATGATACGTTCAGATTGTAATAATTAGATGTACATCTAGAACTGATGACTTTTAAGAGTCGTTCCAAGATGGCCACCACAGCTAATCCATGTCAGTCAACAACACAAGCTCTGAGTGTGAGATCTTTAAGTGCAAACTCATTTTCTGTTTCTCTTCAACCTACTTTAGTGAAATGCATGTAATTATCCACACTTCATTAGTGATCGGCGTAAAAATGAAAGCATTTCTGTAAATTGCAGCAAAAAAAACAAACCGCAGAGCAGCAATACTTAAAGCCAGTTACTGATTTATTTGGTATTCATGTTGAAACCAGCTACATAGAAAACTGTGTGTGCACCCCCTGCGTGAGACATGCACAACATTGCACTGGAAATATGTCACAGCTCCAACATGTGTCCGCATAGAAAAATAAAGATATTATTTACAGAAATAAACAGGTCCACCTGCAGACTTCAGTTTTGTTCCTGTTCAGATTATTTCAACTGATGCTCCTCTTGTACAACACACACACACAGAGTCAGAGGCGGCAGTGGAGAGAAACATCTGTGCAACTCCTTGGCATTAAACATTTTCCCATCAGATTTAAACCCTGCAGCTGAACAAACCGCTTGCAGGAAGAGCAGATTTTAGTGGCAGCAGTTCATCAGCTAACAGGACGTTCCTTCTGACAGGTTCAGTGCAGATCACAAGGCTCATCACTCAGGACAGGTTCAGTTTGTCGTCATTTATTATGCTCATACTGAAAAATATGAGTCAATTAGTGGTTTCTTCATTGGGTTTCAATGTTTTATCATCGCAAAGACAAAAACTGTTTGTACGACTTGATAAACTGCGACACAATCACAGAAGAAATGAAACAGAGGAGGCAGCGTGAGTAACAGAGCAACAAGTTGCAAGAGAAACGTTGGAGATGGAGGCACCTGTGTGCAATCTTTTAAAATGTTCATGTTTGCTGTCGCAGCAGCTAACTGACGGACAGACCGGTGTCATGCTGAGAGAAATCTGAAACTTCACAAAACCTTTTAAATTCTATTTAACCTCACATCCAGCATCAAACTGTGGGAGCAGTCAAGATGAAAAACAAACCTGTGTTGCACATGTCCAGCAATTTGATTACAAATTAAGAAAACAGAAGGTAGAAAATATATTTTACAAAACTTTAATCATTTGTTTGTTTCTATTAGTTATAAAAAACCACAGAAACTGATTTTTTTTATTATTATTATTTTGTTACACTTTAAAATACGTTCTTTTCTGCATTTGAGAGCTTGTATTTAGGAGTTGGAGAGGGGAGTCATTGAAAAATGTACGAGCACACATCCCTGTGGAACTTTGGGCTCTCCCTGGTTTAAAAGTCATCACTTTGGTGAGGATAAAAAGGGTCCTGGTGAATCACAGCAACACCTCAAACCACAATCATCCAACCTCACTATTTTATCCCAGCTTCATCTTCAAATCGTGCTGCATTCAATGCATCTTAAAAGATGGGAATTTGAAACTCTTTAAGCTGGTTAAGTCTTCTTTTGTAATTTGCCATAAACTGCTAATTTTCTTCAGTATTTATGTAATTTGTGAGAGAGGCACAAGCTAATATTGAAGCACTTTGATGCTTTTAGACTAAAAAAATATCAAGTGTTTTAACGTTTCTCGTCTGAAGTTGAAACCACACATCTGTCTGGATGAAGCTTTATTAAACACATAATTCTGCCATCACAAAATGAAAGTTGTGAATATTGAGCAGCTGCTCTTAACCTCAGCATGTGACCACGTGGATGGAGCTGAAAGTGAGAGAACAGTCGTGATTGTGGCCCGTCTGTTCTGCACATGGATGTTTCGTTACTTCAGTGGTCCTGCCCACATTCAGTATTTACAAAGCATCACAGAGGGACCAGCTCCAGCTGACTGGAGCAGACCTAAACCTCCATGTTGTGCGTTTCTCTCAGTTTGGTGTGTGCTAGTCTGAGCTCTCAGCAAATAAACTGTTTTAATGTTCAACAGGAAACACTTATGCCTTAATTTGTTTTTGTGTTTGCTGAAAATTGCAAAACTGATCTCAAGAAACAGCTCAAGGAATCCAGGTGTTGTGAAAACAGCAGAACATCTTCTTTGTTAAAATTTTTACTATGAGGGTTCTTCACAAGCTCTTACAGTATCTGACTGTGTGTCCTGAGGTTGAGGGGGAGCTGATGAAAATGAAATTTGATAATAAAGTTTATGTCCTGATGCATGCTCAATAATCCAGATAGATCATTCTAATGTTGAGTCAGGTCCTTTGGACAAATTCTTCTTGTTGAAACATTTCATATTTTATCGAAAAGACTTCTTCAGCCTGAAGAGCTGCAAGCTTTGCATCAAGCGACCATCAGTGCACTAGTGCCCGTTAGGCTGATGATCCTCCTTTTACACGTGAACAGCTGGTTCTGGTTGTTGATCCACCGTGAGAAGGTGCTGCTTATACAAGACCGTTTGTTGCAGCTCCTCAGACTCAAGAAGTCTTTATGGATAAAAGACAAAATGTTTCAACAAGAAGAATCCGTGGAGTTTCTTACATTCTTAGCATCAGCGTTTTCTATACAAAAAAAAATAAAAAAAATACAGTTTTATGATTTGTGGGAGAACTGAC